CAGAAATCCCTTTTTTAGCAGGGTGATTCCATTCCTATGCATTGGAGTGATGTAGAGGGYTTGTATGAATCATCGATGACTACAGTCCCAGTGGGCAAGCATTCTTGTCAGTTAGCAATAGGGGGAGACGTTGTTCCAGTCCAGGATTTTGATATTGAGAGAAATACAGACGTCATGTATATTATTCCTTTGGATCCAGGTAAGTCGTATCCTGGTTCCAGAGACTTGCCTTTTATTCTTTTGCTTACTATGTTATCGAACTGCGAAGCGGCATGACGTTTCTGTTAATCGGTTTGTTTTTACAATAAGTCTCTGGTCTCAAGCGTGGTCAATCTCGCTTTCATGCTGTATTTTAGAGAACCAATCACAGACCAGTGTATTTTAGCTGCAAAACATGTCAAATAAACAAATAAATGCTCATCACTGGTTTACAGATCATATTACTCCGATTTGTGATTATTTCGCTAAAATACAGCATGAAAGTCAGATTGACTACGCTTGAGACCAGAGGCTTGGTGTAAAAACAAGCTGATTAAAGAAACATCATGACGCTTGTGGTTTTGAAAATCCTTTCTAAACTCTGGTGTCTGGATTTCAGTCATTAAAATTGTTTTTTCCTGGATTCTAGATTCAGGATTTATACGTACAGAGCAAAAAAATCATCATCTAATCATTATATTTGCTAAAAATAAAAGTAAAACTATGACAGTAAAGATATCAAGTTATGATAATCATGTTAATTTTACATGTAGAAGATGATGAAGACATTGAGGAAGAAATTGATACTAGAGAGAATGTCATTGATGATGATGATGATCCAGTAGCTGATCTCCTTGCATCAAGATCTTTCCAGCATGATGAACACACACTACCAAACACAGACACAAGACAAGTTCACCATGGTGATAGTTACCATAGTGACGAGGAGGATAGACATGTCTCAGTGAAAGGTAAGTACTGTGTGCATTACAGAGTAAACACAGGAAAACCATGAAATAWAATCAAATGCAATCAAGACAAATTAAAAGTGGTCCCATGTGGATTCATCTTGATTGCATTCTCTTTATTGGCACTGACAAATTGTCTCTAAATAGCTGCTATTTGTTAGTATTTAGTTTGATTTTAATATATAGTTTTCCTGTGTTTACTCGATTGATAGTGAACTATAAATTAAGTTATCAGAGGGCATTATAATTTTACATTATTAGCTGCGAAACTCCTTAGTTACATTGATGAAAATTGCTATAACTATGCAATAGTTAACACATGTTTAAAACAATGAAATGATTTTTTTTACTACAATGTTGAAAGCCACTATTTCATGCCTGAAGTAAATGCACTCTTCTGAGTACTTAATTACTATTTAGTTATTTAGTATATTTTAGTTACTTACAGTACTTGAATTCATCCTTACTCTATCCACGAGAGCCTTTCAATAAATTACACAAACTAATCCACTGTTAATTGTGAAAAAATACTTAATGYCTCTTGATTAATAGCCTGCATCGTTAAAAGGAAGTTCCATCTTGTATAATTAATTTATATTTCCATCAGCTCTTTTTCCAAGCTTAAAAATGGTCTCTCTTTTCATTTACATACACAAAATAATTATGTCTTGAAAAACTAAGGTGGAATATCGAATTACTATTCACTAGTTGGTTGTAAAGTAGCATTTAAGATTTTTTKGGTGTTAATTGGTGGTAAATCCTTAATGTTTGCCTAAAACTGTTAATTAAAAGAACTTTCAAGGTGTAAATTATGTCAACGTGAGAAAGAGCTGTTAATTTTAATTATTGAAATATTCTTATGAGTTTTTTATAGAATTTTTGAAAGTGCAAAATGAGTGTTTCTTTGGGCATTAGTTTTGAATTAGGGAATGTAAAATGAAGTTGGTGCAGAAATTCTAAAAGACAGGGTTTCTTATTATAAGTGACTTTTAGTAATTACTTGTAGCTTTGGCTAGTAAATAATAAATTTGGTATAATTTAAAACTAGAAATTTGTACAGATTGAAGTAAGTGATTTTGAAAAAATAATTAAAATAGCTATCTTGGTCATACTTAAAATAAAAAGTCATTTGAAAATTCTTTGTCTCTGGATACATAGTAATATTATTCAGACTTTTCCATGTTTACAAAACCATTGTTATTTGAAAATATTGTTCATGATTTACAGTGAATTTTTGAAACAAGTATTTTTTTCGTCATGGCATTGAACAAGCAGTTTTAATTTTGTTAATTTTAAAATTGCATTTTACATTTTTTGCAGATAGAAATCCAATTGAACTCAGCCCTTTATATCAAGAGCTTCTGCAACACCAGGTATGTTGTAATTTATATGTTTTTCAACTTTGAAAGCTTGCTGTTTTCTAATAAATCCTACTTAGGTTAATCTTTCAATCCACTGTCCAATTATTTGATGTCAGAGTGAGTCTCATAACAACCAATGTTCCAGGGGCTTTGGCTTATTTTAAACACGTTTTGATAGGCAGACAGCTCCACCAACCAACAATGTTTTCCTTTTCCAAACGTGTCTGCTTATCAGAGATTCGACTTTAATTGGAAGATATAGTGATATTTAGAAATTATAGACACATTATGTAAATAATTAATAAAGCCCAGTCAAAACTTGTCTTGTGGCTTAGTTATGAGTATGATATTCTGTTAGCGGCATGATACAGGGATCTTATCAAGTATTATATCAGCTATCATATCACACAGTTATGATACACAGTACCATGTGATCCAATGATCTGCCGTGGCATTTAAACAGAGATATGACATGCATGGTATGATACAGTCTTAATATGTATGTCAGCTATTATGTTCAAGTAGAAATCTTATTAAGGTTCTTGTGAAAATCTTATTAATAAGTATCTTATCTTCTTATGTAATAATATTCTTAAAAGATCTTATAAGACCATTTAGTAAGATTTCTAATAATGGTGTTTAGTGGGTAAACGCTGCCAGATGAATTTCAGGCTGCTATATATCGTGCAGTTATATAGTTAATACTATGTTATATAATCATCTGGCATGGTATTTAAACAGAGATGATAAAGGACTCTTATCGAGTATTATATCAGTTATTATATCATGCACATAATACAATCTACTGCAGTGGTATTTAACCAGAGATGTGACATGCATGGTATGATACATAACTCTTATTGAGTTTTATATCAGTTATTATATCATGCACTTAATATATATATACTATGTAACACAATCATTGGCATTGGTATTTGAACAGAGATGTCGCATGTATGGTATGATAGAGGACTCTTATCGAATATTATATCAGCTATTATATCATGCAGTTAATATATAGTTTAGACTGTTTATTATATTCATCTGCTGTGGTATTTAACAGAAATACGACATGTATCGTATGATAGATGAGCCTTATCCAAATGTTTTTCTTACAAATAGTATAGCTAAGTTACACATTCAATTATCTGTTTGCCCATCTCTCCTCAAGGGACTTTTAAGCTGTTATTCTACTTGAATGATTTTTTTAAAAATCACTATTAAAATCACTATTTATCACTATTTTTTATCACTATTTTTTAAAAACCACTATTAGTTACACTGTTTTCCTGAAACAGCTTTCAGTACTTGACTGGGGTCATTATTGTTCAATCACTGCATTACATTTAATGAGCTTAAAATTATGTTCAACCATTTTGCTAATGCATGTGGGACAGATTACTAAAATATTACAAAATTATAGAGCATGCTCAGACAAGACATACTTTAAAAACGTTGATTGGTTGATAGGTTTTACACGGAGAGCCTTCATGGATTCCCTCAAGTGGWAACCAGTCTCCCACTTCCTCAGACAAAGAGTTAGAGGATCTTATTCAGAGGGCTAAGGCTGAGAAAGATCCACCACAGCTTACCAGTCAACCTGTCAATCCTGATGATAGATTATTGAAAAGCCCAATACCGGTGAAACCAATTGAGTTGGTGGAACTTCCAAGTGAAAAGACTGGAGAGAGTGAGAATAATTCAAAATCAAAAGGTATCTCATTAAGCAACTCTCGTTATAATACACATTAAWGTAATTAAAGAAATGTCCTCAGTAAAGAGTGTCCACAAGATGTAAAGCAGCTATGTTTCGCCCCATGTAAGAGAATCCAGAGAACTAGAGGATTCCGAATTCCAGCCTCACTGCACACTCATTACCTCGCCCTAAATGAGTTATGGGAGAAATCGCGACTGCAAGGCAAAGAAAACGAATGGGGACGGTGGCCGTCTCCGCGACGGTAGAAATTGTTTCCGTCACCAGGGGAGGAGGGAGGGTCGCAAAAGTTCTTCTTCTTGACCGGGAACGTAGAATGAGTATGAAAAGCGTGGGTGACTCTTATAGCGAGAGCGAGCTAATTAATTATGCAGTGAGAATAGTTAGAAATTTGATTTGAAGGTTTGAATTTCAAGTTTTTAAGAAAGAGTTCTAAGAAAATGACTCGTTTTTGACTAAATGTCTTTTCAAACATGAAATCAGCTTTATTTTGATGCATTTCAGTTGAAAAAGGCGATGGCATATCTTCATCATCTACAGMYACGTACAGTGGATCCACCAGCAAACGAAGCAGTGGACATTCTTCACCAAGAAATAGTCCTCCATTGAGCAGGTAGTTACATTTACAGGGGGAGGGGGTACGAGTAGCCAGTTACGCCCCTCTAAATGCACCCTTCGTCGTCCTTTTCAATGTTGCAGGAAAACTTGGTCGTGTATGCTTCCCATCAAAAGACCAACATTGACCAGCGGTCTGGGGTCATCTGACGTTGAAACGAATGCGAAAAAGTGTCCATAAATGTCGATGTTTTCTTATCACAGTCTCGTTGAGTTTTGACCACCGTTGAAGGGTTTTTGATTATAATGATGATTTTAGGCTATTATCATTATTATTTTTGTTGTTTTTGTTGTTTCCATTGCGATTTCAACGATTTGGTATTTTTTTTCTAAGCGATGCGTCTGATGAAAGTTTGCAGTTACAAGAGCAGAGCCTAGAGGAATCAGTGCCCAGGGTAGATGAGCTACCGTGTCCTTATACAGGGACATTTATAACCGGCCACTTGCCTGATAATGAACCTACTRAAATAGTCCCTAGTCCCCAAGATAGACGGTCAAGCACCGAAKGGCACCATTCAGAAACTAGATCCAGTCCAAATGGTCAACCACCAATTGATTCAAGTGGCCTATCACAAACTAGAGCCAGCCCAAGAGATCGATCTCCAAGTGATACAGGTGGCCAATCAGAAGCTAGAATCAGTCCACTTGAACGTCCATCGAGTTCCCAAGACCGTCCTCCAAGTGCTAGAAGTAGCCATTCAGGAACTAGAGCTAGTCTTGAAGATCGACCTTCTAGTGTCAGAAGTGRCCAATTAGAAACTAGACCCAGTCCCGAAGATCGGCCTCTKAGTGTTAGAAGTAGCCATTCAGAGACTRGASMCAATCCGTTTGAMCGACCTTCAAGTGCTAGAAGCACCCAATCAGAGAGTAGAATTAATCGTGCTGACCATCCTTTAACCCCTGAACTGATGCAAAGAAGGTTTTCAGGACCAGGTGGGTATCCTGTGGTTTCACAAGAAAGACGAACTCCACCCCTATCAAGTCCAAGGTCTCCTAATGCTGGCATAGAGGGGAGGGGTACTGGATCCAGTCATCGTTCTCATAGCTTTACCAGCGCTCCAGGAGATTTACCAAGTCCTTCTGAACCTTCTCCTAGTATCAGTCGACACTCCAGCGCAAGAAGTACTCCACATGGGACGAGAATTCTACCAGATCGACCACAAAATGGGCTCCCTGTGGATCTAGCGCATGCACGTGAAAGCCACGCCCTGACAAATGGTTCACGTGAACTTCTCGAACATTCTCCACGAAATGCATTTGCATCTGAACCTAGGGACCAC